TCTCGTGAATTTGGCTTAGATTGTTATTCAAGCGACGAGATTGTTTTAAATTGGTCTTATTAAGGCAACAGTAAGTTGACCTGCGCACCGTGTTACCTAACGTAACAACTTGTAGAGCGAATTCTAAAAACGATATGTAAGTATATTAACAACAAATAAGTAGGTATAACTGTAATGTTTGTGAGGATGGAAGATTATTGCTATACCTACACCTTCACAAAATAACTACAATTTATTTTGATTACATTTTACCATTTAAAAAAGGTAGGTAATACATATTATTCGAAGTCACCTTAAACCAATATCGACATTAATGATATAACATCACCTTGATATCAAATCGCGACACCAAACCGCTTTATCTCCACATGAAGTGACAATCGCCACAGGGGACCACGCCATTGAATTATATCACATCACTCGTAAGGCAAGAACGTAGAGATGTATCGAGTTACGTAATAATATCGAGATATTAATCAAGTTCTGATAAATCCATCAAGATTGTCGCAACATAAATAATTCGCAGAAATAATCTTTTCGTTTATGTCATGCGATATTCTTCTCAATTTCCTAATTTAATCCGTTATGTAACTCTGCTGATGAATTTATACAATACTTTTTACTTTTACAATATTATTTCTCTCTCTTTTTCACACTTTTTCCTTCTTTAATTTTGACTGGATGAATAGGGTATTTCATTCGTCTTTGCACTATTTTACTGAAATATTGTACTAAACATGTAGGAACAATATTAAAAAAACACAGAATATTGAGTTATCGAGGTTATATTTCTTTGTATTTCAAATAAAAATGTTGATCTGTTCTAACAGTTAACTGTCAGTTGTTATGACTATCGGAATACAGTGTCTGCAGCTTTTCTTATGGCCAAGATAGTATAAACCATAATCGTAAAAAAGGAGCCATGTGGCCAATAAAACTCGGTATACTGACACGCAGTAGTTTTAACTGGATAATAATTTCAATTCTCTACTAAAAGAGCTAGTTACTTTCTGTTATTGTAGAATAATTTCTAACAGTTAAGATAATTCTTAACTGTGCTATGGTAAAAATATGATATGTATACCATTCTGGAAATCATTGGGCGAGGCCTGGACCTGTCTGGCCTGATAATTGTGGACGTCCCGTGGCTGAAAAGAAGATGATGTAATAAATAACTTTCACGCGATGATTTTAAATTGTACGAGTATCTTGTTACCTACTGTCGATGTGCCACGAAATTCATCGTTGATTTCCTCTCAAGTCCCTTATGTGTGCCACTTTTGTGTCCATTAATTTAAAAATGACAACACACCACTAGGTAGAAGCGATAAATCATGAGAGCAAAGATGAGCCGGGCGGGTAAACATCTAAATTATAAGCCCCACGTCACACTGGCGCGTTTGATACGCCTCATTGATGGATCACTTTGCACTGCGATAGTTGTCACTTCAGTGTACACCGACGTTGATCGCTTGCGCGGGTTAAGCTTGAAAAGGTTTATGAAAATTATTTCAGCGCGCTTCTCTTCAATATTTTTTATATTTTTATGCAGAACAAGGCAGATATTTGACCGTAATCGCATCTGATGTTAAGTGATATGCAGTAGAGTAGGTATATACGTGATTATCACTGATTATATTTAAGTTAATGCGTTTCTACTTATAATGGTTAAACGTCAGATTCCTTATCATTCCAAAAAGAAAAGTACAATTTTAATAACATAAATTTACTTCAAACTAAGGCGTCCGGGTACTTTTATGCACTACTGTCACCGTACGTTGATTGTAACTCCACTTTTAGCTTATCCTCGACGATCGAAGGAATACATTATTAAAATGTCCTTGTTTAATTTGAACTGAATAATAAATTGAAACTGCCCCTAAATCCGGGACAAGACAGGACAGTAGCACCAGCATTCCGTGACTAATGGCGTCGAATGTAACCCGACTACGTTTAATTTCACACTGATTTCACTTTTGATTGATTACCAGCGGTATAACAATGAGAATAGGCTTCGAACCATTAAGTTCTAATTTCACTGCGGCGTGGAATTGAAGATTATCGACCATAGAAACTATTTCGCAAGTACCTAAGAATAAAAGAAGAGTTTTGAAAAGAGCTAAGTACGTACTCTTCGATCTTCGATTCATATCTTCGGAACCCAATATCAATATTAAAGCCAACTCCGTGATACCGATGTATGGCTACCGATTGTTCCCTTTCGCACAATTGATGTGTCAAGTCAGCCAAAAAAGTAGATTGCTTTCAGATTCGGGACACATCGGTTTTGGAATGATTGGAAAAGGTATTTTAGGTGGGCAGGAAAGTCGATCAACGTACTATCGGGGACTCTTCCGCCTGACCACTTTGTAGAAATTTTAGCGTAAGCGCATCGCTCCGGTCACGTGCTCACCCCGTCTCTAATTGGTTACGCATTTTACTATATTTTTACTACGACCAATAAGAGACAATCAGGGCTTAGGTTGCAATACGAAATACCATTGTGCACTTTATTGTCATACGGTTAGGGTTTAAAACGAAATGTTTCTTTTTCTTCAATCTTTCTTAGTTTTAGGCTGAGTTGCTTTTTTAATACGCTTTTATATGTTCAAATACATAGCTTTTCACAGTAATCCAATAGATTTTCCTTTACTATGTTATAGTTCTTATTTTTACGTAATTACGTCGTGTGAATAATTGCTCCGTCCATTTTTATACATCTGTTGACCATTTGATAATATATTAAAACAGATTTATCAATAATCCAACAAATTTTCGAACGTTAACTATACTTTTAAGGATATACTGCACGCGGGCAATGTAGTTCGCGGGCTAAAGTCAGCGATACGCTCTTATTACTACTCCCGTAAGGTTGACATTTCAAGTAACAAACCCATCCTTATCACTCGCGCGTAATTGTATTGCTGTCGCACTCGCACACTCACTGCGGCCGCATGTTGCACAGTTGATAAAGATGGGTCATTGGACGAAATTCTACGTACTCGGCGACGACCGGGCTTTAGTTGTTTGTAGTAGTTACTAATTGTTGCAGACAGGGAACATAATCCATGAAATGCGCAAATGATAGCTCTTATGATGAAATAATTCTTTGACTGTACATTTATAAAATCGATTAAAAATAAATAACTTATTATTCTTCAAATGCATAATTGTAATCCACACTAATTTACGCTTCTGAATAATACATTAAAAACACTGTGACGTGATTAAAACCAAAATCACAAACTAAGCATGCATTGTCAAAAGTTAAATAAAAACGAAAAAAAAAAAACTCTTCAAAACAAAACACACGTAGATATTCATGGTCAGGACAAAATCCATTATATGATCGATATTTAATTAATTTAGTTGCGTATCGCTGAGTGGTGCAATTCGAGGGTTCACGTGCTATATTTGCATTAAGCGACATCTTGAGTTATATTCGGAATGAGGATCATTTCGATTTTTAGCTGTGAATGCAGATTTATAGGGCTAAGAAATCCTTAATACACAGTCCAAAAATTTTTGTTCTACGACAAAAATTGACGAAGTTATGGCCAAATTACTAAAAAAGTTCACTGACCGCCCGGCGCGGGGACGATGACGTCACTATATCCGATCCGAACGCTGCCGGCGTACTGCGTGGATAGAAAATATTTTTTTCTAGCCAAACTATCAGTTTTAGAGAAAAACTTGTAATGACATTTATTCATCAAAATAAAGTAAGCTATCGATAGGTAATTTAAAAAAATAGAAATTGTGAAAAATANGAGTCCCCGATAGTACATTCTCAGTTGCGCTCCCCGTCGTTTATTACGTACCTACCAAGAAATTTTGAGATTGAGTTTACGGACGTGTATGTAATATAGCCTGTTTAAATTGCCCTTGCCACCGTATATTTGCAGTTGAAGAGTAATAAAGAACCTATCGTTTGTCTGCAAAGCTTAGTTGGTTTTCAGAATCTCTGAATCCTATTCTGCAAATTATTTCTGTTGAGAGCTACAATGGCATGCTATTCCGGGAAGTTCCCGGGGGATGAGTTTCCATTACGACCCACGCAGTAGAGCCGCGGGCAAAGGCTAGTGAATAAGAGAGTGAAAAAAATTGCCAATGGAAGATTCTGGATCTATTCAACGCTTTTTTCCGTGACCTCGACAAAAGCCATGCACATCGATCGTGTTGAAGCAGGGGTTGCAGGTTTTACGAGCGGCTGCCGACGAGACGATAACAATATGACACGAATTCCCGACGATGGGATGTGTTTTTATCTTACCTACACTGACTTTTCGCGCGGCATCGCTTGCGTCAGTTGGAATATCATTCCTCAAGAACAGTATAAGCCCTGTTAGGAAAGTTGCATGTGATAGTTGAAATTTTCACTTTATTCAATCCGGGCTACCAATCGTTTTATATAATTTTTTCTCTACTTTGTTCGTCAGATGTTTTTTTCAATAAATTTTAATTCGTCTGTAGAGTTAATTAGGTGCTCAATTTGTTTCGCTCTTTCCCCTTATGTTCCACACGATCAAGTGTTTTTGATTTTCAGTAAAAGGTTTATAAATGTATTTTTCATTGTTTCAGGAGAGAGAATGGAAAATGCCAGAGGTGACCAATGACAGTATGTCCCCGCCGCGAGCGATGACCCTGCGCGCTGGCAGGGGCGGAGCAGCAGCCGCGGCGGCGGCCCCACCACCCACGATGCCATACTGTATAGAAAACTCCACGCTTATTAGGCTATGTCTACAATTTCTATGGGTGATATCTCACATATATCAAAACGCCTCCATACCGCGGGTGCGCGCGAACTTAAATTTTTTAAAGCGTCCGCTAGTTAAATTAAAAGCTAACGAATTTAGCTTTCGAACTAGGACAGTGTTATGTGATGTTAAGTCGTTGTTAGTGAAAACTTTAGTGCAATTATTCGTTGTTGCCAAGTGGGTTGTGCGGGGGTGGAGCGGGCGGCGGGGGACGGGGCGGGCGCGGGCGCTGCTGCTGCTGTGGCTGGCCGGCTGCGGGTCGTCCAGCGAGGGCCGCCGCGACAACGACCTGCACATCGGCGGCATCTTCCCCATGGAGGGCGAGGGCGGCTGGCAAGGCGGCCAGGCCTGCAAGCCCGCCGCCGAGCTCGCCCTCGCCGACGTCAACGCGAGATCAGATTTATTATCCGGCTTCAAATTACTGCTGCACAGCAATGATAGCAAGGTAATTTATTGCCACCCATTTTATCGCACGACGCAATTAACGTTGCTGGGGGAAATTCCACCCGAAGAAATTGTAACAAAATATTAACTTTCAACTTCGTTCACTTTCGCCTATAACAAATAATATTAACTTGATCCAAATTTTCATGAATCGGATAACGCGGTTATTGCGGCGAAACAAGTGGGGAGAAAATGTTGCCAAATCAAGTTTAGAGAGTTAGATCACGTACCTAATTACATTTGCGTAAAACTTTGCCTCCCCTAAACTCGTGAATGTCAATTATAATTTCAATCAACGTAATGTGCATAACGTGTCGGCGCTCACCGGAGTGACAAGCACCTAATCCATTAAGTTTGAAAATCAAGCTGACTGAGGCTCACTAATTAACAAAAAGGTTATCCATGGGCGGGTATACCGAGCTAGAATCATAGGCTTATCATATTGCAACGCGGAGGGTGAACCTGACATTCGATTCAATTATTGAGAATTTATGAATGGCTCACGGAAGAAAATTTTATTGGATAGAATTTCCGATTCTGTCGTCGAAGGTAATTTCCCATTTTATCGATTTATTCAAGGCTGTTCACGGACAAATTGACGATTCAATCCTCTTTGAAATTGATAACGTGGCGATTACCAACGGAAATGATGAAAAGGTCTTGACATAATAGAACTGGAATTGTGATAGCTACGGCTCAAGAAATATAATAATTATGGGAAAGCGCGCGTGTTCGTTTCATAAAAAGCAAGGAAAATTACAATCATAAGTAATATTGCTCATGTGAACGGCAAACGGTTGAAACAGAAACAGAATTTATAATTGAAATAATAGCACTTTTAAAATAACTTAATTATCATAAAGTCGGCTTTAAATTGTTTCTGCAAAGTCACAGATTATACAGACAGACATCAAAAACCGGATTTACCCCAAAGTAACTCTTCCTCAATTTCCCCTTTCTCAAGCACACTTGTATCTTTTTATTTCAATTCCTACGTTAAGTCACGGTTGTGATTGTCCTTTGTTTCTTTTGTAAGACAAATCCCGAACTCGTTATGTCACTTCTTGTATAAAATATGCAATGGATTTTGAGGTGAGGATTATATTTTAACATTCCTACCGAGAACAGATTAACTTATGCCTATTAAACTTTTTTTAAGGATATTTTAGTCTAGGCTGCCTGGTTGTACCACATTTCAACACAAAATACGGAAACTTATAACGGAATATTTACAGTAAGTATTCCCGGAATTAACAGAATTAATAAGTTTATACAGTCGCCATTATCGGAATAAAGCTGTGCTTAGTTTGGGGTTAGTTAATTTATGTGATGATGTATATACAATAATGTAACTAAACAACGCACTTAAATTAATTACACAGATCATCGAAGCAAATATCTACTTACCTCTTTCGGCTTAGTAATAACGTTAACACGATATCTTTTTGAAGTCGCAAAAAGTTAAGTGCGCACCCAAAATTCGATGCCGTAATACAATCTTCTGTTGTTTAGAAGTTACGCATGGTTTTAATTAATTTTGGCCCTTCTGTATCTTCGCAACAAAATATAACGAACCTAATTAGAGATCCTTCCATCACGAAATATTGTAAAGGTCGGGCCTACATCGCCCGGTTCAAAGGTGAACCCTACCGAAACTTTTGTTTTCAAGTTACTATAATTATATTTAAGATTCTGAATAACGTTCATTAAATTTTGGAGATCGCGCAGAGCTGTAAAACACTAATAACTGTCAGTTATTTTAACAGTAACGTGAGCACGAAAATATAGACGAGTATTATTGGATCTACCGAAATGATTTATAATTACAATCAATAAAGGGAATAAAGAAGAAGTAAGCAGAAGATAGAATAAAAGTATATTTCAATAAATATTCCAAACTTCGTCTTGATAAGTTTTAGTTTTTGAAAAGAGCACAGTTAGTTTCGAGCACAATAAAACAACTGGTTTTGACCCTTGAAGTTTCCATCATGGATTTTCAATTTATTCAGTGCTATGTTAACTCCTTACATAATATAAAAACGGGGCATTTTTAAATCTTTCAGTGAACGTGAAATCCAAAATATTATCATAAATGGAACGAATAATTTCGTGGACAATTATCATCAAAACTTTTCTTCGTTTAATGGGCTAGTACCAAGTTGGAAGCTTATCTCATAATTTAGAAAGTTGTGCTCAAATGAAAAAGAAAAGATAAACAGCGCCATTAAAAGTACAAATTATTCTAGCTCAATAAACTTTAGCCCGGATTTTTTAACGAGTGACCAAACCAGACATAAATTCTCATTGTGTAGAAAGTAGGTTTTCTGTTTAACTTCTGCCCTGCGGTGTTACAGTTGTCCGCGTAGATTTTTGCCTAATAGAATATTCCCTGTCGCTCCCTCTGCTTGACTAGAAAATCTTCAGCTAAACTACAAAATTGCTATGATGTCACTATCGAAATCAGAAGTGTCTGAATACTACGAAGACACGATTGAAAAGCAATTCAATTTTTTTTTTCATCGGATCAAAGGCCGAGCTATTTAACCCTTAAGATTTTTATATTTTAAAAGTATTCAAACGATAACGTTAAAAACCATTTAAAAATCCTATGAGAACGTTTTCGACTTCCACGCGGACGAAGAAACGGGCAAAAGCTTCGTTTAAATAAATTGAAAATTCATGAAATAACAAACACGGATAGCTACAGAAAATGTACCTGAAATTAATTAACATGCTGACAAATTAATGAGTTTTCAATTTAATACAATAAACTTTCCACAGTATACGTACCTACCTATAGACGAAATTCCCGTCGAGCGGGATGCGATCAATACGGCTAAAATGTCTGCTGTGGCCGGAACGGATTCAATATTAATAAGTGCGGTCAGCGTCACCTAAATGTAAATATTGATTGGATGGACCGAAACCGTCAACGGGAACTAGAGTAAGTGCTTGCACACGTTGACTCGCGGGCGCGGGCGCGGGCGCGGTGACGAAATATCAAACATATGTAGTGATTCCAAGTGTTCACGTACGAAACGCACGTGCGGTCTAACTAGCGGGCAAGCTAGCGATTGGCGCGCGCGGTGCGCTCGCGGTAATTTCAACGCGTGAAGATGTTTGTGTGTGTTCATGTCAAACTAGCGGCGGCGCGCGCGTTTACCTCGCGACGTCAGGTAACTTCAACCAGTTTGATCTTGTCGCTAGAAACGATAGCACGTTTTTATCATGTCGTTCAATACAGAAGAGTTTATTAGTGCTATTCAGGCTAGAACTCCTATTTGGCAAAGTAAACACAGTCTCATATGAACAGAAATGTTGTTTAGTTGATAACGATAATATTAATTAAATTAAATAATAAAGAGGAACCTTGTTTGAATTTGATTTTGATTGAAAATTATAAATTATTTACTAAGAAAATCTTTTTTTTAAACTCACCTTATAGTTACAAATAGTCTTTCTTCGGGCTTTATACTTTTATGAAAAGTGTCTACTTTTGAAATATCACTCCTTATTGAATCCAGTATGTAATCAACACAGTTGACACTCATCCTGGTATATCCAAAAAACCTTGAAGGATGTTCTCTCAAATTACGATATAAAGTATGAAATTCACCATACCGTTCTCTTTCTTTATTAATCTCGTGCACACCAATTCTCATTTTTAGCATCTCCCACTTTAGGTATGAATTTTCGGTTAAAAATAAAAGATCGTCGTCCATAATTCGACCTCTGACAATACGTCACAATCGCGCGAACGCCTGGTCGTCAATATGAACACGAGCTCGCGACGTTACCCGCGCCCGCGCCCGCGCGTGCCTACGTGAACAAGCACTAACACTGTTTAGTCGGAATTTAGACCAACTGTTGACTCAGGGTTAAATGGAAATGACTGGGGAAATGTTGTCCCAGTATTTTAAAGGCCAAAGTTAAACGAGGCATTTTGTCTTTCTTATTTTTTTTTATTTCTCAGTTACATTTAAGATGTGTGTTATAAACAAATTCTATGCTAGATAATTGTATTCTGCATATCATTAAGTATGGCATTATGATATCTCTAATTTAGCTCAAGAGTATATTGTGACGCCAATGATTTCACCAACTAGACTTTGTTGCCGTAATACAATGTATTTTTCAAGAAAATCGAAAAAGAATTAAAATACTGCTTCCAATTCTCCATTTAAAAGTAACGTTACTTTAGGTATCAACTTTCTACTTACTACAACATTATTTTTCTACACAATTTCTTTAATGACATCGTTTTCCAAGATAAAACTGTACGTTTGGTTCCTACTACGACTCGCCGTCCACTGTCAGATCAGTACCTCTAGTAGGAAAAACTTTCGAGTTCGTTTCGTTACGTATTCAAAGTGTCATCGAAAAATTTTGTATGAAAAATTAAACAGCGCCCCCTAGGGCGGCTATAATATAGGGGGCGCTGTTTAATTTTTCATACAAAATTTTTCGATGACACTTTGAATACGCAACGAAACGAACTCGAAAGTTTTTCCTACTAGAGGTACTGATGCCGGTCCAGATGGTGCGTGAAATAGGTTCAGCTTGCTATCCTAATGGCTATTACAGCGACCTCTAACGTATAAAATCTAAAATAAAGGCTCTATTACGGACGAATTCCGGTAAAAATTCCGTTTCTGCAATACACCAACCTCACTTGACGCATCTTGACGTATGTCCATGACACATCGTTTCCTGCCCCCCTAGACAAAACGCACTTTTTGATCGAATCGAAAATCGAATCTGTCAAAACTCCATACAAAATAGGGGCTTTTCGACCACTTTTCGACTGGTTTGCGATCATAATTTGCACTTTGTCTAGACCCACTGAACGCACGCCTGCTAATGACTAGGCAGCATGGTTAAATAAGTTTATGGCCATTAATTAAGAATAATTGAAAACTGAATACTTGGCTGTATGGAACAAAGCCTTTGCCTATTATTACATATTTTTTTAAATTGTTTGTGTACCTAGGTAGTCGTTTAGCTAAAATTAATTAAAATGATTGGAGGACTGTTCGTGAACGAGCATGAGTGGTAAGCAAATAAAACATATTTTTTTACATTGGCCGTTATTAAAACAACTCACTATTTAATCATGAATTACAATTACAAAACAGTAGCTATTTGCGCAAACCACATGAAGCCATAAAAAAGAAATATGCCTTCTGTATTACCTGTTTAACATAAGTATATTGAGAATTGGGCCCACAAAAGTAATAGATGTGTAAAACAGTTTATTCGCCAACATGTTTTCGATCCCAACGTAAGATTTTATCGAGTTTTTATTGTTATCCTTAAACGTGACTTTGTGCCAAATCACGTAGCATTCGCAACGGCCTGTCAAGTGACGAGAAGAAAAAATCCCATCAAAAACAATACTTGTCAAAAAAACCAAGTCTCGCAACTCAGTTGTTCTACGGTAAAAAGTTGTGAGATCCATGTAATACCAAGTCCAGGCCAGGAAATCTTTAACGTTTTACATAAATTATTGACTTGGCCATCGCACTAAATAATTTTATTTACACGTGTTTTCATGCGATGACCAAGTCAATATATTTATGTAAAACGTTAAAGATTTCCTGGCCTGGACTTGGTATTACATGGATCTCACAACTTTTTACCGTAGAACAACTGAGTTGCGAGACTTGGTTTTTTTGACAAGTATTGTTTTTGATGGGATTTCATTTCTTTTTGTATTTTGTAGACAGCAGTTATGTATCTAGAAAACTGGACCGAAATTGAAAAATTTTACTCGACTTGGCGGTTGCACTACCGTGCCCCCAAATATTTTAGTTTTTCCTTGATTCATACACCAAACACTACTTATATTCCAAATTTGAAGCTTCTAGGTCTGCTAGAAGTGCCTTAGAGTTTTGATGATCGGTGAGTCAGTGAGTGAGTCAGTGAGTCAGTGAGTCAGTCAGTGAGTGACAAAATTAAGTAACTTTGACCCGTTATAATTCTTAAACTACTGGTTCAAATTGAATGAAATTTTAAATATACCGTGTCTTTACAATGCCTGCATAGCTAATGAAAATTCAGCCTTCTAGTTTTATCCACAACGTAGTTACAGGCGGTCGAAAATGGCCTGAATTGCTTCGAGAAAAGGATGGTACGGCCGTGCCGCTTTTTTGCTCGACTTGGTGGGGGCACTGCCGTGCCCCCAGATATTCGTTGACATGAAAATTATGTAATGTTAGATGTCACTTATTGGATTAAATAATAAATAATGCTGTAAATTACTAAAAAATACGTATGGCATTGAAGAATAAAAATACACTACACTTATCACAAACAATTCTTTGCTGTCTATAAAAAGAGAGTTGTTAAAGCCATCTCAATTTCGCACTTAAAAGTCTATGGAGAGGCAGCGTTTTTAGATGTCATATAAAGTGCCCTATAATTTATTTTTTGTGTTCAGACCCTTATTATTTATTTAAACCAACAATAGGTGCCTACTCTCCATGAGTAGAAAAAGGAATAAAATTATCTTTTAATTTAATTTAGTACCCATTTTTATTAAAAACACAATCCTCCTTTAACCTCCACAAGTGTAGAGCCCTACTTACTCATTAATTATTACCTAAACTCAGCTCAAAAAGCAAATTTAAGTAGTTTAACTGAGAATCACGAGATTAAACGAAAACAAAATGAATAATATCCCTGGGAATACAGTGGCGTGGTGATCCGCCCGCATTTGTGTAATTATTATTTTAATATTTCACCCATTCAAACGAGAATATTAAGCTGGTACTCCAGAGCTGTTGTTTTAATCCTTGGCAAGCTCGATTAAACTTTGACAAAAAATTGCGAATATATTTTGAACGCGTTTATGTTAGCTTGTTCTCTATTTATTTTTGTCAGCTGTATAAAAACTTTGCCATTGAATTACTATTTGCGAGGTTAAACTACAATATTTTGATGGTGCAACATTTTACAAAAATAATTTTAGCTTAAAATCTGAGTGACTTTATTAAAAGTGGAAATATCACTTTTCTTGTTTCTTTGGCCCGTAAAGGTAGCTTTGTAGAGATGTATTTTAATAATAGTAATTTATTTTTGTAGAAACATCTAAAAGTTCAAAATGACCAATTCAATTTTATTCCAACATTCGCATAAGTGCTATTGAAACGTAATGGCCGTTAACAGCGTGACCCCAGCTTCTGATCTGTCCTCAGGCTTATGAGGGGTTAACTGATATTTTTCAGCTGCTATTATTTAGGTAACGTTACTGCGTTATAACGCTGTAACGGGTCTGATTAGCATTTCGCTGAGGTGCTAAAGTGTTAAGCGGCGGCCCGCTCCATCATGCGAAGAACCGAATTGAATTTATGCAGCACCAATGGATTATGCAACGAGCAGTGCATTTTCATTTCACCACATTTAGTGGAGGTTTTCAGTGCCTACGTATTTTCGTATTTTGGGATGTGTTAAAACATAACGTTAGATATTGACCTTATAATAATGTAGGTAGTTAGTTACCTTAAAAATTCTAGAATAGCATTATTTTCTTTAAGCATAGACATTAGGATATTTTTAAGTGTAATTCCAACTAATAAGCCTTATCTCAGTCTATTCAGAGCTTATATCATGACTCATGACGACGCGTCCGTACGCAGTGACCTTTACATTACATTCTATCCAAAGGATGAAATAAATGTCTATAATACAACACATTTCAAAATTAAACGTAGTTCTCTCAAATAATAATCGTACACCAATTACAAAATCCCATAATCCGATACACATGTTATTCCCAGAATTCAATGTTCATTTGCTTTCAGTGCGAGCCGGGCCTGGGGGCGAGCGTTATGTACAACCTATTGTACAACCCACCGCAGAAGTTGCTGCTGCTAGCCGGCTGCTCTACCGTCTGTACCACGGTGGCCGAAGCTGCCAAAATGTGGAATCTTATGGTTGTAAGTATCAAATATCCACCCTCAAAATAAATAAGAATAGAATTCAATTTGGCACAAGAATAATCTACTGAAACAAAATTAAATTGGCAGTGATCTCAAGATACAATTCAGTTTGCAAACAATGTTAGGTTTATTGGCATCACTACATCAATTTGTTCTCTAACAAGTAACTTAATTTCTTGCTTTTAATTTAAATCTTTTAGATAAACTGGTACATAAGTCGAATAAACGTTATCTACGGTCTAGCGAGCTAAAGATTAGGCAAAATTTCCGAGTACGGTCTAATTCAGCTAGATTCTTCTGCGAATAGAGAATCACAGAGGAGAGTGTAGAGAGGGAGAGAAAGCTCCATAAACATTATCGAGGTAATATTAATTAATCTGTGATAATGACCTTAGCGACGTTCTTTTTCATAGCTTTCAGCCAACATGGTAGAAAATATTTTCATTCCTTGCTGCTACTTTTGAAATCAACTTAAAAATATCAAAATAACCACTCAAAACTTAACTTGTTTGTACATTGCACGAAAGATTGTTGCGCTATATCAAATTTATCTTCTTAATGGGGCACTTTAAACTTAATAATGGTGTAACGTTATTAACAAAATGCTTTCACGCGACAATTTTGGGGTTTTCAGTTCAGTACATTAAACGCTATTACAACGTCATGTCAAATTGATTTCAACCAAAGTATGTAATTAATAAACTTTATGTTAGTAGGTTGATAAATGTGTATAATTTTAAGTATTGGGCACGCATTTATGTACAATCAGTGTCAAATAATAATAGTGACACCTAAAGCGGCCAAAAAGTTGATAATTACAACCTTATTCCAATTGTAACAAAGACGTGTTGCAAACTTATATTATTTAAGGCTCCTGTAACACGGGTTCATATACCTAACACAGAAGTCAGGGGTTTCTCAATGTTTTTTGATGAATGGGGCTACAGAGCGCTGTGTGAAATTGTCCAAGGATATTTATATGTTTCTATCATAATACAAATAAAACTGTGTTAAGTGAGATGAATAGCATGGAACGAACTGACGTCAATTTACTTTTTAAACAACACAACCTCATTGCTGATTCAGCTCAGAGATATATAATTTACTTACCAATAAGCCCCGTTTCAGAATATTTCAATTATTGGCACTGCGATCGTTTTTCCAGCAGCATTTGCAATCAAGGCCCCTTCTCTGAACCTGAATCAGTTTCCAAGTCGCTTTTAATTAATTTGGAGAGTTTAATGAGTTCATGTTCAAAATATTATTCCTTGCAGGGATTAAAAGTAATACGTTTATTTTATTACTTACCTACTGGGTGTTTAATTTCACATCCAATTTGTTTTATAGTGGAATTAGTGGAATGTAGATCGGTTTAATTTGATTTGATTAAAAGTTTTCAGTTCGGTCCAAATATCAATTTCAATTATCTCGTCATGTTAATTGATTGGTGGTTGAAATGTATTCGCAAAATGAAAAAAGTATTTTCAGGGTATTAACCTCTCGAGTCCTAGTCGGTCTTAATAAGACACAAAAACATTTTCAAATAAATTCTGACTGACTAAGTTTAAATATTAGATCGTATCCTCAAGAGACACTATTTAAACATAACGTTATTGCGCTACGTTGAAATCGCTGAATAATGGAGCTTAATAACACAACTTTCAGTAGAAAGTTAGGTACCTACTCAATATTTTAATACATTAACGAAACCAGACACAGAATTAATATGCAGAACATAGACATATTACCTAGAACATATTATTATAGGTTTTTTACGAAACGAGACAACTTTATTACACTGAAATAAAACTACTTACTCTCCGAAGAAAGTAGGTTTGTATTTCTTATCTAAAATTAAAAAAGTTTTAAAAACGTATATACTACTAATCGTTCTTTTCAGAGATGGTTTAACGTGGTGCCATTAAAATCTCGTTTTGAGTTTAAAACTTCGCCAGCAGGTATACAATTTTACTTCCTTAGCCGCGTTAAAACTGTCCATTTATCACCGCTGTGGACACTAAGCATTTTTAATTTTTCGAGAAATATCGCTTATCTCGAGTGCCCAGCTGTGGCCGAGAGTCCTTGAGTTTCCGCAGGTCAAGCGCAGTCAATTTTACTCTTTCCACCGCGAAATTAAATCATACCAAAATCTGGGTTGATATATTGATGTTAACTTGGTATTCTTTATTTAGATAAGGCTTACCTACTAACTAGGTAATCCGTATACATATTCTTGTTTACAAGAAATAAACTCGAAGAACATAATTATTTAATGAACTAGGTACAATAACTACTCGTAACTAAATTACTTATTCTCTATTTTTTCTTGTTTTGTTTGGTATACAAATAAAGTATACTATTGATGTAATGAAACTTACTTAGATTTGTATTTAAGAAGAATTTCCTTTTCTATTTGATTCACGATTGTTGATGCAGGAAGATTCCTGTTATTTTAATACTTAATAGTTTTGCTGACCCGCCTTACAGTTCGACGGAATCAATCATGTGCACAAATTTTCCTCGAACCCATACAATTCTCGTATTCAACTAAACGAGGTCAAATAGATACTCGTAGAGCAAATGCGCCCTCAACAAAGAAGTCAAAACTTCTTTATGGGAATTATTTAAGTAGGTATTACGGGGGGACACCGGTACGTTAAGACGCGTTTGTAACTCGCTCCGGGTAAATCACAAAATTAACATGGAAAAAGTGCCATTTTCATTCAGTGTTTAGCACCATCGTAAAGCTAAAACCACGGACTACACAATAGTGCAAATAGTTTTTTACAAAAAGTGAAGTTTAAGAAATCCCAAGCAAAAACATTTTAAAATTACTTCGAAACGGTCGTTTATCGCTGTGGTCGGAGTTCACTGACCTACGCTCCGCGCTCCGCCTCTCCAGTTGCGTCGCGAATTTGAACTCTAAGAATGTCCCGCGGAACAAAAGTACGAACGGCTGAGGCAAGAGCTGCAGAAGGGAGCTCGTCACCCAAATCTGACATGCCCGCGTTACTNTATTAATTCGTCCTAATAAATAAGTAGGTTATTAGTAATTATTTTTCTACTTTTTAATGTAGGTTTTTTGGAGTCGGTTTTATTTTTTTTTATAAAATTTTACTTATAAGATTTACCTATTTTGCAACAAAAAACTAGATTATCCTCATCAACGTCTACATTTCATCAGCCATAATTGAACAGACACTATTTTCAATCTTAATTAAACTTAATATTATCGTATACGATAATAAGTTTAATTAAGGTTGTAATTTAGGTAATTAAGGTTACGATAATTACGAAATAGATACGAGATTACGAATAATTTTGGCCAGGTTATAATCAAATCAATTTCTAAATTATAATATAAATCGCAACCAATGCTGATTGCAAACGCACAAACAGATAATTGGGCGGAGGATTTATTTATATAATCGAAACGTTATTATGCTGATCTAATTAGATTTTACTACTGATGAACTCCTAATTCCATATTTACTAGTTTAATAACTGGATTAATCAGCTAATTGTATTCAAATAATTACGATTTTCCGTTCAAAGTAAATACTAATAACGGTTCATCAGTATCCGATTGGAATAATATGTTATTAGTGTCACTGTATTTTCTGTGGGAATTAATGTGAAATAAATAATATTGTTAGCAAACTGACATAACGTAATAATTATATTATTATTATTGATAGATAGGTTGTTAAGCATGATATTTACATAAAAATTCAGCTGGTTCTAATCTATGACCTTTCGAATGCTGAGCAACTTTTCTCTAGCTGATGGCTTTTCTTTTTGTTGTCAAATGGAAAAACATAGCAATTCATAATTCAAATAATATGCCAATATTTACGAATTTTTTGGTCTTATGTAATTTCTTATAGCATTGTGCTTTTAGCATGGAGTGAGTATTTTAAATTTAATTTTTAACATTGGTCATTCAGGGACTTCCAGTTATCTCAGAGACATCAATTTATCATTTTTTACTTTTCCGTATATACTAACAATGATTTCCACCACACGTCATAATAAAACAATTTCCCACACTCTTCCGTATCACTAAAACCCCCAAACGTAATAACCAATACGATAAGGGAGCGGGTATGCGCATCCATTGCATAAATGTATGAAATCCCGTCGGCGCGCAGGTGAGCGAATCTGTTAGCGATTAGTATTGCTCGCCCTGATAATGGGAGGTGCCGCAAATTGCCGGATTCGCAGACGGAATTTTTTTTCTAGTGGCATAAGTCATAAGCTTCTTATTTTGTCTGAAAAGTCTTATTACCTACTATACTTATTACGTAGGTATTATTATTTTTACTTAGGATAACCAAAGTAACCGATATAACCCGCAGAATTGCCAAACTTGAGTGGCAGTGGGCGAGTACTGTAGGCAGGCCTCCCACTTGGCAGACTGACGATCGGATGAGGGTCACGGGACCGCTCGTTGTGGAAATCTTAGGGGGCAAACCTTTTTCCTGCAGTGGGCGACATTTGGTTGAGACAACTTGAGATATCAAATGAGAATCTTTCTAATATCTCTAGTAATGTATTGTTTGGATGTCTTGCTACAAGCACCAGCGATTAAAAACGGTTGGTTCCAATGTTTTCTGGCATCTGATTTGATTTAACAACCACAATCAGAAATAGGTAACGAAACTGACCGCCACTAGGCTAGGCTTGGTATACAAGTTTGCTGGTCTGAGAGGTTATTTCACTATGTAGAGCTCGTTTTTTTGGTGGGCCCACATACTCCTCCCTCCTAATGATGAGTAAGCGCCTAGAGCTAGAATACTTGGAACATTCTTGCCAAGTGTGTCTCCTCCTGATTAAATCCGTTGCGGGTCCAATGACAGGTTTAATTTCCCCCGGGACAAACTTGACCTTCACTGGTTGGGTTTTTATTGGCGGTCCAGCTGTAGATCCTGGCTAACAGTAGCTGCAGCGGTGGGAACGAGAGGTGGGAATCTTCCCATTTGCCAAGGGCTGCCCAG